GTGGGGGGGGGGGGGGGGGGGGGGGGGGTTATGAGGAAGGCAGGTGGAGATACTGTAGTTATGAGCACATGATGAGTGACACAGTAAGTATTTAATAAATCTCTCTTCACATTAATCACCCTGCTGACCTCTGCCTATGACATGACTCTCCCCACGCTCCTCTCTCTCTGTTCTGTGTGTGTACCTTCTCTTCCTGAGCAGACGGGTCTTTGATGATCTCCATTGGTGGAGGGAGGGGAGTGTGGGACTCGTCCTCAGGCTCTTCCTCTCCTCCGCTGTGCATCCCTGACGAAGATTTGGAGAGTGTTCCTTTTTCTTTACGCACTCTCTGGAAACACAAGAACAAGTCAATCAGCAAATTCACAATGCATGTTACAACTGTGTTCTAGCAGTTATCATAAACACCCCTGTGACTACAGAACAGACCATCCTCTTGTGAAAAAGAAGTGCACTTTATTATATTGAATGTATACTTCAAATCTTAAAAAGTCAAGTCAAGTCACCTTTATTTATATAGCGCTTTTAACAATACAGATTGTGTCAAAGCAACTGAACAGCATTAATTAGGAAAATAATGTGTCAATAATGCAAAGTGACAATAGTAAACACTCATTTTTCAGTTAAAGGCAGTTCATCATTGAATTCAGTGATGTCATTATCCAGCTCAGTTCAGTTTAAATAGTATCTTTGCAATCATTTGCAATCAAGTCAACGATAACGCTGGAAAGGAAGTGCCCCCAACTAAGCAAGCCAGAGGCGACAGCGGCAAGGAACCAAAACTCCATCGGTGACAGAATGGAGAAAAAACCTTGGGAGAAACCAGGCTCAGTCGGGGGGCCAGTTCTCCTCTGACCAGACGAAACCAGCAGTTCAATTCCAGGCTGCAGCAAAGTCACATTGTGCAGAGGACTCATCTGGTTCCTGTGGTCTTGTCCCGGTTATATATATAAAAAGTATATTTAAAAAACTTTGTACTTGCTGATGATTTATTATTAATGAAATAAGGCCACTTTATAAGTGTGCTTAAAGAGAGTATGCATCCATGACTGTGTTTTGAACACATTTAAGTACACTTCTAAATAGCGCACTTTGTAATAGTGCCAAATCAAATGTTTACTTTAAAGTATATTTTAAATGGGTCCTGGAGGGCCGAGAGTTTAGCTCCAACCCTACAACATATTTTGAATGTACTACATTGCAACTTTATTGTTACAAATGTATAAATACAAATATATTTAAATGCATGATATGCATGTTTCAATAGAAATTACATTTTAGTTTAGTTTACCATAAATGCTTGTCATACAGCAATATGACTGCGCTATTTTAAAGACAACAGAAGCAAATATGAAATATGTACTTAAGTCCTACTTAAGTTGGTTAAAAAGTTTAACTATTTGCATTTAATATAAATTTAAACTTCAGTACAAAGGTATATTACTTTCTTTTAAAACGCATAATTTCCTTAAGTACTTTTTGTTTTTAAATGTATGCTATAATGTACTTTTTCCACAAGGTTCATTCATTTGTAAAAACATCTTTGATTGTCTAACAGCCTACAGAGAGGCTAATGTACTTACTACAAGCCAGAATAATTATCAGAATAATACCTCAAACTGTGCTATTACTTTCGGTGATTCATAATCACCAAAGAACATTACCAAGAACACCATAAAAATCCTCAGAACATGCATTGTGGCACAGTTTTGCGTGGGTAAGCACCTCAAAATCTAGTTTAATAAACAAGCATTGATAATTATGTTGAACACTGGTGTCTTTAATTATATTACTAAATCCATATTACTGAAGACAATAAACCACTCAAGGCAACACATTACAGTGATATTATCACACTTATGTCTAACAAACACCTTTACCTGTGATACAATCACCGTAACCGTAACACACAGCCTCAAGTGGTTCACTGCTTTATTATTTGGCTTCTAGTGCACCAGTTTAAATGCTCAGAATTTATTGTTGAAGAATTTGCTCTGAAAAACAGCAGACATGGTTAATATGGGCCATTGTGGTGGGGTTCACATACCCTGCTTCCGAAATACAGAGGCTCTTTTGTATCAGCACATTATATGGCGCACAGCTTTAAAAAGTCAGGCTAATCATCACCCTCCGATCTGAACGGCTGCTGCTGGGGCCATAGCAGCCCTTTAATACAGCCCATAGAACAAGAGGCCTCCTTTTCTCTGTATTGCCATGATTGCATAAAAAATAGTAATGGAGAATGAAGGAGCGGTTATAAAACACTCTTGACGTAAAAACTGCTGTCCACCGTCACCACATTCTGTTACACAAACGTTAGATATCAACAACAAACCTGGTTTTGGGGAATCCTTTTGGAAATGTGAAAATATTCTATAAATAAACAAATTATGGCGATTTAGCTCAGTCTGTCTTGCCACTGATAAGATTGGACTGGATTTATGTTTGAAACATTATTATTATTAGCTCTTTATCCAATAAAGACTGTGTCAAAGCAGCCTTACAGTGTTAAACAGGAAAAAATATAATAGCTGATAATGCAAGAGGACAATAGAAAACAGTCGGTCTGTGCAGTCAAGTCAACAATATTGCCAGCGTCCCCAACTAAGCAAGCCGAAGGCGGCCGTATGGAACCAAAACTCCATCTGTGACAGAAATGGAGAACAAAAAAAAAAACCTTGGGAGAAACCAGGCTCAGTCGGGGAGCCAGTTCTCCTCTGTAACAGCTGTCCCCATGTTATTGATTAACTGTGTAGTTAAAACCATTATAAAATATTTCTAATGTGTTCTAATAAAGACTCATGAAATCGTGTGACTGAGAAAAAGAGTTGAGATGAACCAGGGGGGCCTACCTTTATGAACATAAAAAAAGATTAATGGTGTCTTTAATACTGAATTGTCATTAAAAACACATATGCAAAACAACAAAATGGCCAAAAAGGTGGAGAAAAAAATTCTGGTCTGACTGTGTGAGAACAAAAACAGAGTAAAAATATTGTATTGCAGAGAGAGTGATCACCATTGTGGTTTTGTGGACATATAGCATAGTATAGGGTGACCATACGTCCTCTTTTTGGACCTAAAAAAAATGCGTCCGGCTGGGATTTCTTATTCGCCCAAAATGTCTGGGATTCATCTGTTTTCTTTATCCCGCTCACGCTGAATTTCTGACCATTGTCGTCTGCTCCCGCAATATGTGTTTTTCTCCCGCGATTTTCGTGTCCACTCCTTTAAACATTCTAATATTGTGTATAATTTTGTCGCATCAGGGAGCCGCTCTCAGTATGCAGAGTATTTAAATCTCTTTGAATGAGCGTTCGTGCTGTTCACTTTCACTTTCGTGATCACACGCACTCTGTGTAAAGGGAGCACATCTTACAAGATCAGATATTTGTCAATGAGCTCAGGATCTGTTGAGCAGCAAACACTCCAGCATGGTCTTGTCAGTCATCTCTCCTTATTCTCGACCTGTGATCAGTCAGATCTGACTCAGGCAGATCTTATTGGATGCAGGGTTGCCAAGTCCGCATTATTTCCACAGAATTGGGCTAATTTTAAACTGTTGCCATGGGTTGAATTTCCCAAGTGGGTTAAAGGTTTGAAATATTGCATAAATTACATTAGACTGAAATGCCTGTATTGAAATATTTTGCATTCAAGTTCAACCTGTGATAAAACTTTCATGGACTTTTTCATTAACTGTTCCCTCCTGGTGGAATGAAGCTGAGTTTAATCATTTTCAAGAAACGGCTGAAAACACATTTCTTTCATCTTCATTTGACCCTCTTAACTCTAGCACTCTTTATTCTAATGCTAATTCTAATTTTATCTGCTTGTTTTTTTAAATTAAATAAACTTGACCCTCTAACATTTGCACTCTCTATTATATTTCTATTTTAACTACTTGTTTTATTTAAAAAGAAAAGAGCCTTTAACACTAGCATTCTCTATTCTTTCTACTTGTTTTCTTTTTATTTATTATAAATAATGACCTTCTAACACAAGCATTATCTATTCTTTTTCTGTTCTATTGACTTGTTTTATTTTATTTAAAAATGAGTTTCTAACACTAGCATTCCCTATTCTTTTTCTATTCTATCTACTTGTTTTCTTTTTATTTATTCTAAAAACAAAACAAGCAAACAAACAAAAAAAACCTTGCTACGTATACAGTGTTAGGCGAAACCCTGCCTCCTTCCCCCGTGAATTTCCCAAGTGGGTTAAAGGTTTGAAATATTGCATAAATTACATTAGACTGAAATGCCTGTATTGAAATATTTTGCATTCAAGTTCAACCTGTGATAAAACTTTCATGGACTTTTTCATTAACTGTTCCCTCCTGGTGGAATGAAGCTGAGTTTAATCATTTTCAAGAAACGGCTGAAAACACATTTCTTTCATCTTCATTTGACCCTCTTAACTCTAGCACTCTTTATTCTAATGCTAATTCTAATTTTATCTGCTTGTTTTTTTAAATTAAATAAACTTGACCCTCTAACATTTGCACTCTCTATTATATTTCTATTTTAACTACTTGTTTTATTTAAAAAGAAAAGAGCCTTTAACACTAGCATTCTCTATTCTTTCTACTTGTTTTCTTTTTATTTATTATAAATAATGACCTTCTAACACAAGCATTATCTATTCTTTTTCTGTTCTATTGACTTGTTTTATTTTATTTAAAAATGAGTTTCTAACACTAGCATTCCCTATTCTTTTTCTATTCTATCTACTTGTTTTCTTTTTATTTATTCTAAAAACAAAACAAGCAAACAAACAAAAAAAACCTTGCTACGTATACAGTGTTAGGCGAAACCCTGCCTCCTTCCCCCGCCCCCCACTGTCCTCTTTTTGGAAAACTAAAATATGGTCACCCTAGCATAGTAATAATGTAAGTTTTTCCTCAATGTAGTATGGAAACTATTAACATTTCAGTAAGTGGAAAAAAGTACAATACCTCCTCCAGAGTGTCATCCTGTAGCTCAGGCGGTCCCAGATCAATGCTCTTACGTCCATCACGTTTCTGCTTCTGTTTGCTAGGGATTTTCTTGATGTTGCTTCCGTGACTAAGGCGCCGAACTGGGCTGGTCAACCATTTCTTCAGTGTATTCCCAGAGCGCTTGGGTCCAGGGGAGCTGCTCTGCAGGGAGTTCAGGGATGCCTGCGGCTGTAATGTGGCCACGGACTCAGTCTTCCCTTCTGGGCCACTAATCGCATAGTTTTCTGTAGGACAAAGAACATAGAGAAGGGTGAATGAAAGTAAAGTTCATGATGAAGGTGATGATCAGTCTTAAAATTATTTTTAAGGAATATTCCAGGTAAAATTCTAATTAAGTTGCAATTTCTGTATCATTGACATTACCCAATGGAATTGAGAAAATACTAGTAGGGGAAAATAGGATTCTGAAATACTCCACCCATCCATCCAATGGCCAGAAAAACAGGCAGTCCCACCCCAAACTCACACGTCTGGTTGACACAATGGTTGGGATAGTCAAACAAACAGAACAATGTTTTGAAAGCAACAAATAGCCACAGTGTTTATGCTTTTCTGGGAGCTTACAGACTATGGACAGCATCTGTGGCATATTGTTGATTACCATATTTCATAGACTCACCCCTCAGATTGTTACAAAGAAAACAAACAGAAAATACACTTACAATAATGAACTTACAATGGAAGTCTAATAAAGCACTTATATAAATTCTTTAGTAAACACATTTATTACTTGAGTTATAAAGTTTGAATGACTTGAATTAACCCTAAACTTGTGCCAGTCTAGTGCCAGTGCTAGTCCCAGTCAAAATCACTCGACCCCGTTGTTTTCAATCATCTCTCTTCTTTCCTGTCACAAAAATTTTTCTCAAATTTGCTTTAGTCAGGCATCAAAAGGGGACATTCAATAGAGATCAGTCCGGAAGCTCTGCAGTTGGCAAGACCGACTATCAGATGATCAATCCTCAATCTCCTAGCTTTTGACCCCAGACTACCAAATCCTCCTGTGTATCATCTCGAGCCTTGGTCCCATCTGCACTCCACTGGTTTGAGTCCTAATTTACAGGTAAATCATTCAGGGTTATTTTGGAGAGGAGGGGTGTTTAAATCACATTAACTTCCCACAGGGGTGCCTCAGGGTTCGGTGTTTGGCCCCCTTTTCTTCTCACATTAAAACTGGGACATATCATCCAGGTTCTATTATTTTTTGTGGTATTCAACAGCATGCTCAGACAGCATAACTGGACAGGTTAATTGTTTAAATGGAAATTAAAGTGAGAAATCAAAGTAATCCAACAAATAACATTTTCAGCAATATCACCAATAGATGGACCTAAGGGCTAAACCTAGACTGAATCTTTCAATCTGATCTTGATTTTGTTGTAAAATTTGTGAGACCTCTGACACAATTAACAGAAGTGCAGTACAGGAAGAATCAGCAGAGCCGAATGTTTCAAATCTAACACCAGTCCAACATTACTGCTAACTGGAAACCAAATACCACAATTCACTGGAAATAATGACAGACATTTTTAGATCAGAAAGAAAAACATAGAGCATCACAATACTGCTATTCTCTTAAGATGTAACACTATAAACACATTAATTCAAAGTTAATGATTGCCTTCCACAAATGCAAACCACGCACCTAACATAAAGTCAATATTCTTGTGATGTAGAAGAAGCTCAAGCAGACATTACCCATACTATTAAAGCACACTGTAACTGCATTTTCATGAACAATGATTTGTAGAGTATTGCAACATAAAAAGCCTTTTCTGCTATGTTCTGAGTCTGTGTTCAAAGATTGGTGATCACTGAATTACAATTCGTTATAAATTATTATAATCTATAATTAATAATTATAATCATTCTAGAGATGCATAATATATTGGTAATATCATCAGGTTTTTAAATGATCAGTATCCATGTGATTAGGTAACAAACAGGAGACAAAACAATACAGATATATAATATTGCTCATCATATATATAAAATTATTATGGTTATCAGCCAAATTTTCGATGTCAGTGCATTCCTAATTCTAATCATGCACTATTTAACATGTTAAAATTGCAAACGAATTGGCATTATATCTCACTGAAGCATCACTGAAAACATTCCATGTATTTTCTCTCTCTTGCGCTTACATGCCTGATTCATGATAAGATCATCAAGTCTCATAACCAACAGAAGAACTTGTTCTCCAAAAGACCATGTGTGGATGACATCTGTGCATTTAGTACGGACTTCAATGGCTGACTCATTAGAGGAAGTGACCTTGTGAGAATTGATCATAAAGCTTGCGACGGAAGCATCAGTGAATCTCTAGGTAACAAACAGGAGACAAAACAATACAGATATATAATATTGCTCATCATATATATAAAATTACTATGGTTATCAGCCAAATTTTCGATGTCAGTGCATTCCTAATTCTAATCATGCACTATTTAACATGTTAAAATTTCAAACGAATTGGCATTATATCTCACTGAAGCATCACTGAAAACATTCCATGTATTTTCTCTCTCTTGCGCTTACATGCCTGATTCATGATAAGATCATCAAGTCTCATAACCAACAGAAGAACTTGTTCTCCAAAAGACCATGTGTGGATGACATCTGTGCATTTAGTATGGACTTCAATGGCTGACTCATTAGAGGAAGTGACCTTGTGAGAATTGATCATAAAGCTTGCGACGGAAGCATCAGTGAATCTGATGGCTTTACGGTTGAGATCATATTGCCACCTGTTGGTTTGGCATGCTCTTGACAGTGCTTCATAGCATGCGTTTGCGTTTTCATGTGCATGTGAGATTTTTTTAAAAACAGAAGAAGGAAAAAAATACCCGTGTACGTGTGGACATGGCTTTTACTACCATTCGACTAACACAAAGTGTCCAGATACCACATGAAAACCTGTGTTTGCACTATTTTCTTTATAATAAATGTTTTAACCTGTTTTGATATTTTGCATCTAAGTGCGTCTCCAATGTCCAAATACTTTGCGTTAAAATCAAAAATAAGACACAGTGGCCTCATTTCACATGAGTCAGAGTTCCCGGCGCTGTTGTGAAAGTTACTGATACTCCCACCTCATACTCCTCATACTCCTCATACTTCCCATAGAAAGACTGACAGTAATGATGTCATGGCAATTCATGTGAGATGAAAAATAAGAACGTGAAGCAACAACTAATAAACAAGCTATCATTTATATGCTCTGGACAATAGAATGTAGCATGATTTACACTCAACAGCTGCTATAAAACTAGTAGTTCTGCTCCTGGATACTGACTGTGGTTCCAGCTTTGCTTTCCAGCACTCCAGCCATACAAAATGCACTGTATATATTAACATAATTATATGATATGTCACACCTGTTGACCAGCAACTGTGTGTTTGTCTGTGTAGCACTAACAGAGACCAACTATTAACCTTATCTGTATAGGGACTGTATTTTCTAGCAAACAGAACAAGAGCTTTTTGAAGGTGAAGATTTTTTTTTTTTTACAGTTTAAATAATGTATCCTAGCTAAACTTTGTATGCAGAGACAACTATAACAAATGACACACTTCATTTCAGCTTTTTCAGATTTAAGGCCCTCATATCTGAGAAATATGTACAATCCATTCATAAAGTCCATCTTCAGCCAAACAATGTGGCGTCTTCCACACGACTTCCTGACACACAGAGGTGCGACTGAGAGAACGGTTTAGTCTTCACTGAAGCATGCAGGCAGATGTGTCCTCCTTAATCATCTGTTGAGTCTTTGCACTGACATTCCTCACTGTCAATAGAAACCAAGGCATGTTTTAAAGCGTGTGGCGTTTTTCCAGATACTTCACACTAGATTCGTCTGAACCGAGCCGGTTCTGAAACACACAGGAAGTCCAGACGGACAGCATTCCATTCATAGGTGAGGAGTTTCACATGCGTTTTACCTGACAACACCTCTCTGCAACACAATGCAGTTCTGCTGACTGTACATTACACGCATTACTGACTGTAAATGTTCTAAGCGCTCAGGAGGAAGAAAAACAGGGGAATAATTGCCATGTTCCCACATTATCTCTCTCTAAGAGCCATTTTCAAAGAGCCACTAAAGCTCTTTTGATGAAAAGAGGATTTGAACTAATTTACTCTTTAAAAACTGCAGGAGTCACGTTCAAGAGCTGGACAGACAGACAACACTACATATTAACAGATCATTTTGCATAATTATGTAACACAAGTGACGAGCTTTTTACCGGAGTCAGTTTAGCAACATTGAAGTAAACAACAATACAAAGAGTATCATAAATTATAGCTACACTCTAAAAAATGCTGGGTTGTTTCAACCCAACTTTGGGTCAAATTTGAACTAACCCAACTATTGGGTTAAAAATGTAATGTAAAAATTTAACCCAACAGTTGGGTTAGTCCATATTTGACCCAAAGTTGGGTTGAAACAACCCAGCATTTTTTAGAGTGTAGGGTAAAAAAAAAGTCAGTAACCCAAATCTTATGACAGTATCCATAATTGTACATCAAAGTAACTATACATGAAGTCTGACATTAAAAAATTTCAAATGTACATGTAAACTGCAGTGTAAAACTAGTATATATATATATAAGTGAGCTATGTTAGAAGTCGCTATAAAAATACAATATATGCACACCAGGTTATTATTTTTAACTAAAACTTTTTTTTTTTAATGTTGAAATCTGAAACAAAATATACATTAACTGAAATAATTAAATGGTCACACTTTATTTTAAGGTACAATTCTCACTATTAACTATGACTTTTGCTTCAGTTCACCAGCTCCTAATTTGCTGCTTATTAATATTTAGTAAGGTAGTTCTAGAATCTAGAATATGGTCATGCAGAATGTGGCATTAATATGTGCTTTATAAGTACTAATAAACAACCAATATGCTAGTAATATGCGTGCTAGTAAACAGTTAGAGTTGGTCCCTTAAACTAAAGTGTTACCCTCAACTCGTTTTCATTTAGTTTACCTTGAAGTAGTAAAACTAATAAACAAAATATAGACATTAAATAATATAATAGAAATGACAAAACACAATTTACTAAAACTTTACAATTAAAGTTAATACAGAAAATATATTTAAAAAAATCGAATTAACTATAACAGTAGTACGTTAGTGATAAAATCACAGTGATGCACACTTTGGATACTGCAAGTGACACAGTGCCCGACAAACTAATCTTCACCT